CCCCTCCCCCTTCCCCTGAGCCCGCCCCCCGTCTCACGTACCCTGGCTCCACAAGGCGAGGCGCTCAGCGTAGAAGCGCAGCACCACCAACGGGCAGCGCCGATTGGCCTCGGAGGAAGGCACCAGGTCGCAGACGGCGTCTCGTTTCCACTTCATTAGGAAGGCGAGCTCCCCGTTGGGCGTGAAGGTGCCCCCGAGGATCTTCTCAGGCTCGAGGCCGCGGTCGAAGCCCTGGGGGGGATCTTCGTCGTCGTCGTCGCCGTCGTCTGCAAGTCGAGCCGCGGGCGCAGGGGGCCCCCGAGCCGGTGTCCGCCGCGCAGGGCGGTCCGCCCGCGGCACCTTGATGACGTACGCGTCCACGACGACCTCGGTGGCCTCGTCGGCGATGTCGCCCGGGTCGAACAGCACCTGCTGCATGTCCCTCCTGCCCGCGTCGGCGGCGATGTGCTCGTAGTTGAGCACGTACGCCTGGCGCCGGTTGAAGTCGGACACGAGGGACGGCCTCCTGCCGCCGCTCTTCTCGGCCTCCTCCGTGAAGGGCTCAGACCGCACGTCCGGGGAGGTGACAGCGCCGATGTTGCCCTCGTTGTCGTCGGGCATGCTACTTCCTTGACGTCTCGCTGCCCACTACGCGACACGCGGCTGGAGGAGCGATGGCCTACGATCGGCAGCTGTTCAACCCCTCCCCACCCCACCCTCCCCTCCGTGGCCGGCAGGGGGCGCCAGACGCCTGGCTCCTCGCGGGGGGCTGCCGCGCCTGCCCAGCCCCCCGGGAGATGGCGCTGCATGACGAGGGTGCTGGACCCCTGCCTGCGGCTGGCGCTTTCCGATACAAAATAAACGACTTGCTTTGTCGAAACGAGATCGCGATACCGACAAAACAAACGACGGAAAGAAATATTGGAACAAAACAAAAAGTTGACATGGATCATTTTGACAGCCATTCACACTCTTTGGCGCGCTGCTGATGGTTCTCGCTGTGCTCCGCAGCTCCGACATGGTGGTCCGCAGCATCGGCAACTCGCTGATGGTGATCCTGCCCGACCTGGTGGGCAACAAGATCACCAACTGGTTCGACCTGGTGCGCCCGCTCGTGGCCTTCCAGTTCCAGAAGGTGAAGCTCCGCTTTCACTCTCCAAAGATTCATTTTTAGATTTAAAAAAAGTTGTTGAAAAATAAATAAAGAAAAAAAGGCTTAGAATCCGTTGGCATTTTGCCACCCTCCTCATCAGATCCTAAACCGCACCAACAACATCTTCGAGCTGGTGACCGTGGAGCCCGTGTTGACCGGGAGGCCGTTCGACCGCAACCGCTCCATGCTGCTCAGCGACGAGTCGGCGTCCGACGGCTCGGCGGAGAAGAACCTGCGGCTCAAAGGTACGGGTAACGAGGGGCGAGGGCGAAGGCGCGGCGGGGTGGGGTGGGG